CATGCTACTGAGCAATAACTTTTGCTACAATTATGGACATGGAGTGGCATCTCCACGAGACAAAGACAGCTTCTTGGTAGGTTGCATAGCACACAACTGAAGAAAACCCAAATTCAGGACATCAACAAAAGCAACAAAATAAAATGCTGTCACGTGCAGATTTTGGCATTTTGGTTTCTTATTTTGGTAGGATTCTCGAAGCAATACACCAGCTTCTCTACTGAATGAGCAGCACTCCATGAAACTGTTTGGGCCACCTACCTGCAGTGACAGATGAGTTAGTTCTTGAAGATGACCAGCTGCAGAAGTTTCTTTTTTAGCACTTCTTTCTAGACTTTTGCTAATGCCATGTGAGAGAGGCCTATTATTTAGCTCAGGGTGGCCTGGTGATGGCTCTAGAAATATTTTTGAGAGTATCTTTGTCTCTATCAGCTTTCTTCTCTCTTTTTTACTGCACAGTTTCTCCAATAACAACGATGTATTAAGGCAAGAGTTCCCTTTTTCCCTGGCCTGTTGCCTTCCTGGTTCTTCCTCTTCAAGTCCATCTGTGGAATCTGCAAGAGACTCTTCAAGAACAGCTTCCTTTTGGCTCGGAATTTCTTCAGTATGGCTGGAAAGATTGGAAGCCTCATCTTTAATCGCTTGAACATATTCTTTTGCAATGACTTGGGCACCATCTGTTTCTTCCTGATGGCCAAGACTCTTCAGATCTCCATTCCATTTCTTTTCCTCTGTTATCTACCAGTAAAGAAAATACATACATGCAAAAAGTCACATCTCCTGAGCTACAGGAGCTGACACTAAACCAAAACAAATGATTGGCAGATAGCAGCTCTAACTCAGTCACCACCTGGTAACAGCACACACCACGTCCTTACAGAGAGCAGTAAGACCTCGCTTTGCAAAGACTACAGCTTTAGGATGTGCTAAACATTCTTGAAATTTATTTGCCTTCTATCTGCTCACCATACAACATTTCTTATACTGAGATTAATGAATGGGGAAAAGCAGCACAGCAAGTTAGCCTTCTCATGATGAAATGGGTTCAGTTGGCTTCTCTTATAACTTCTTATGATGGCTAGTCTTCATCACTGCAGATGTAATGTAAACATTTTATCTCAGAATAGCAGTACAAGAGAGAAGCTTCATACTGATCCTCATGAATATACTGCCATAGTAATTCTTTTTCTACATACGTAAAGTAATGGCTGAAACTATTTCAAACCCTCAAAAACTTAGAAGCCACGGCAGTGCTTCTGTTAATGCACAAACTGAAGGTAAAAGTCCTCAGCAGCTGAGCTGCAGGTAATTCTCCAGTACTGAGCTTATTACAGAAAGGTCCATAAAGTCAGTGAGCAGCATCTTCCTTCAGGACTTGGTGCAATTGTCAGCCTATAAATATTTGTATGACTTTTCTGACTAGAAACTGGTGATTTGTATCTCAACATGCACTTGTTATTACACAAAAAAAAATTATACCTTCCCCCTCTTTATTATGTACATTATTCATAACAAGATTTATTAGATTTAGAAGTGACTGAAAAATTCCTTGAGAGACAGGACTCTGAGCAAAGAAAAGGCTAGTCAGCATTTTAATAAAAGAAGGTATCTGTGTCAGTAGGAAGTTAGGAGTGTCATTGTCTTAAAAATGTAAAAAGAAAATAAAACTAAGAGATGATAGCACCAAAAAAGAAAAGATCTAAATAGCGAGAGCTTAAAAGGGCCACTAAAAAGTCTAATTTCTGATGGGAGAAAGTACTGGAGTCCATGCTCTTCTGTCACAACACTCAGTCAAATTGGTCAGATAAAAGCAGCTGTTTGTATTGGAAATGGATGGAAGGGTAGGTTTACAGTAATACAGCCTGCACACAACAGTCACAACCTGCATGTTTGAGTCTTCCTTGGAAAATTCCAGTAGCTCATCTGACAGGTCAGGAATTAAGTTGGGTTGCTCTCGCTGGAAGATGAAAAGCTCCCCATCACTCTCACAGTCAGACTATCAACAACAAAAAAAAGAGAAGTTAAATGAAAAACTGTAATGTGATTTTTTCACCATCTTGTAGTGACAAACTCTATGTTGTCACCACCTGACTGAAGTTCAGAAACCAGTTTTCTTTTCAGTTACACCTTCATTAGGCAGCCTGCTAGCCCAACACTCAGGCTGTTTTACACTGTTTGAGCAAACTACAGCACTAAAAATAATCAACAAATTAAAAACAAAAACAAACAAACAAAAACACGTAAGATGTTAAATTGCCACACTTGGTTGGGCAGAGTTTAAACAGCTTTGAAAAAAACCCTTATCTGAACATAAGACAGGTGTTTGAGAATAATTGTTATGTACAGACAACAAAAAGAGAATAAGCAGCTTCTCAGAAGCCAGCACCCAGCTTCCATGCTTATCTGTTTTCTAAGTACGCATTTTCAGTAGCTCACACTTCAGAGAACTCTCTCTGGCATGATTATTTTTTCCTAACTTAGAGGAAACTCCAGTGCAACTTCTTTCCTCTTACTAAAATGCATTTTAGGACAATGAAAGTACTTCAGAGCATAACATGCTGTTTTTGAGCACCCCCTCTCACTATAGGAGCACAGCCCTTTGAGGTACAGATCTCAGATGCATAAATGTATCTTCCCACAAGTGGAAACCTCTAGGAAAAAGGAGCAGCTCTCAAACCACAGGCTCAGCAAGCTACTGTTGTACAGTAAGCAGGAGAGGGATCATGCAAGCAGATCTTCTGAATGCAAATTAAGGGTAGCATGTAAGTGCCAAGCAGACTGCTGCAGTTCCTTTAGCAGGAAATTTGTTCCACATGTGACAGAAACAAGGAATTTGGATTTTATTTAAGAGTAAAAGAAAAAAGAATTCAACATGACTTAGAGTTATAAATTACTTGGCACGAAGATACAAAACTATTGTCAGAACTTTTTTGTACACCTATAGAACGAGAATGACTAGAAATCATCCCTGAATGCTGGCCCTAAATCTATACTGCATAAACACTTATTAAAAAGCAAAGGTTGCTTTAAGTAACTAAAATAGAATTTTCACCAGATTGTTGATGTCCTGCGAGCAGAGATCTTTAGCTGTCAGCAGGCAGCCTGTCCTAGCCATTAGGACCCAGCAAGTAAAAAAACACGGCACGGTGAAAAATACCTCACAATTTCTATAAATCTCATGCTTTATATTAAAAGGTTAACAGCATTATATTTCTTTGCAGATGGAATTGAAGAACAGAAATCAACAGTTGGCTACAGGCAGGTAAAGAATTAAAAACTAGGGATCAAATATCTGCCAAATGCTTTTTCAGTGGACCACGAAGACTTCAGGAACACGACTTTCCTGAAACCCTCAACTACAGAAAACCATGCTAACAGCCTACTGTCTGGACAGCGCATTACTAAACTAAATAGCATAATATTATCCAGGGTGAGATCTTAGCATTTGATTTTAAGTCAGCTGTATGATTTTTTTCATGCTGTATTTTTGACCAAACAAGCTAAGAAAAAAATGTGTGGTCATTCTGCAAGCTGTCCACTGGCCATCTCTTCCTAACCTGGCATTATTTAGCATCTGGAAAAATCAGTCCCACCTTCAGTTCCGAAGAATACAATGAGAAAAGATGGTCATTATGCTTTGACTATTAGAGATAAAATAAAAGGTTGTGGATTAATATACACATAACAATACTCAGAATAAACAAGTACTTAGAATCATAGTCATAGAATCAGAGTTGGAAGGGATCTCTGAAGACCATCTAGTCCAACTCCCCTGCAAGGAACAGGGATTTTTTTTTAAAGCCAATGAGAGAAAGACAGTCAGGTTGCAGTGCTTACTGTAGAAGTGTCAGAGTCCAGAGACGGGAGCTGATCTTTCACTGCAGCAAGTATATCTCCCCATTGAAACGTGCTGTTACTCCCAATAGGAGCTGTAGGAAGCTCAGATGGACGCTCAGCATCCTCACTTTGCCCTTCTGAGGCCATTGAAACATCCAACCTTCCACCAAAGGAAAGCACACCTCCGGAGAGAAAAGGATAACATCAGTACAGAGCAAGAACAAAGCGTGTGCATTTAGGGTCAACATAACCCTCAGTGCTCCCAAGGTGGGACTGATTCCTTAGGGAAGGCCATTCTCACAGCCTGCCTGGCAGGGAGGGCTGCCCACCCTCAGCTGCTCCTTATTTCCCTCACACGTTCCCCTCCTCACAGATCAAATGATAGGTAAAGTGGTTTATGCCGGCTTTTTCTCACTGCATTTGTATCAAAAACAGTTGAGACCAGACGAGCTATTGGATTCTGACCTCTGAAAATATATTTAAGCTCTCTCCTCACGTTTCCTTCTCGTGTGTAAGAGCAATCAGGACAATCAGGACAGCTCAACAGGCAACTACCACTGTGCCAGCAAGTCAGAAAATTAACCCGCACGTAAAAGCTTCACTTTTTAAATTTTGTTGCCACAGTTGCGTGGTTTTTAGGTCATCAGAACTGGGCGCGCATCGCTACGTTTCTAAGAAAGGCGGGCAGCTGCGGGGCGTTACGCCGCCCAGCACCAACAGCTGCCAAGATGGCGGCGAGCGCTGCGCACGCGCACTTCAGCCGGCGCCAGCGTTGCCATGGCAACACCAGCAGCACGGCCCGGCCCCGCTGCCTTCACTGCGGCCTGTAGGCGCCTCTGAGCTGCCTCGCGCATGTCCCGACCCCAGCAGCGTGGCGAGGTGAAGAAAAGTAGCTGATAAACGGAGAACACACGGCGGCAGCGCAGCCCCGCGCCCTGCTGAGGCTGCTTTCCCCTACCTCAGCCACCGCCGGGCAGCGTAACGCCTACTGCAAGCGCCCGCCCTGCCGCGGCGCTCGAATCCCATTGGCTATTCGGCGGCCCGCCCTCTTGCGAGCGGCATCATTTATTGGTCCGCTGCCGCAGAGGGCGGGGCTTAACTCTTCCGCCTCTTGGGGCCTATAGTACCTAGTGGGCGACGGGGACGGAAGTTCCCAGTATTCTTTGCGCGCACTTCCGGGAGCGGAGCTCACCGGGCGTGCAGGTGAGGAGCGCGGCGCGTTGTATCACCGCGCGGGGCCCGGCTGTCTGTAGCGGCCTGCTCAACCAGCCCTGCGCCGCCTGGAGCCTCGGTGGGTCCCGCAGCGGTCACAGCGTTCCGCCCCGCCGTGCCGACCCGCGGTGGGTATAGGCCCGGCCTGCCCCCCTGGGGCCTGAAAGCCCCTGAGGTTTTAACGCTGCGCTTGTAGCTCTTTTCTCTGGCGTTACTTCTTGGGGTTATCCTTCCAGAAGGGAGGCTAAGGTGCTGGTCGCCGTAGATTTCATGACGGTTCTTATCGTTTCTTTCTTTCTTCCTGCGTTCTGGTTTTCTCCTCTGCACCCTGAGGGCAGGGCAGCGTGGGGTGGCTGCCTGCTCTGAGGCTCAGCGCAGCGGGGTTCTGATCTTGGTGAGTCCACAGGTGGTGATGTGCTGAAATAAGAAGCCTGGCTCTTGGGGCTGAGGAAGGCTTCTAATGGATGTCAAGTGAATTGCTGTGCCATAATGTGAGAAGAGACTGTAAATGTTCCTCAGGTGTTGATCTAGTGTTGCAGATGGGACGTGACATCTAGCTTGTTTTTAACCATCAGATCTTTAGTGGTAACCCATCCAAGTACTACTTGTTCCAAGTTCCAAGTGTATGGGAACTGTTGAGTCATGGCCTGAACCACTCATTGAGCATCTGGGGAAAGGACCTGGTCAGCTCTGGGAGCACAGGTGGAGGCATTTCAGCTGTGAGACTGGAAGGGGTGGAGGGCTGTTACACTTCATTTAAGGGTTGACTGCCACTAGGGAAGGATCTCTGGTTGGAGATCTCTCCCTTGTGGACTTCTCCCTGTGAGCCTGCATCTTTGCAGGTGGGTGAGCTCTTCTCCTTTTCTTTTGTAGCATTGTTCCATTTGTGCTGGTCCCTTTGTTACTACTCTCCTCTTGCTCTTCTACTGCATTGACCTTTCTGATTGTTACAATCTATTTTTAACTATATAGGAATTCCTATGTATCTTGGTCTAAGTCTTCTGTGCTACCATTTAAGCATATTACATCTTGACTTATCCCTTGTGGCCACAGGAAGCAGGTTACATCTGACCTCTTTCTATTTGCAGCAGCCATTTATGTGCTTGAGAGTTCTTAATGTGTCCCCAGACTTGTTTTCTTTAGACCAGACACCCTCGGTCAGTCTTTTCTTTCTAATCTTTAGGGCTCTGATTGCTTCTGTTGTTCTCAGGGTTCTGTTCACTAGTTCTTTGTATTCTCTCACGTTTATGCTCAGTTGACATTGTGCTGCAGGTTAGTGTGGAGTGAAACCTTCATTTGTTTTAAACTCTAAACTGTAGGTGATTAGAGCAGAGTTGGACTGGTAGGAATGGATTTGAGTCTTGAATATTCTGGAGTTTGGCTTTGAGCATAACTTTTCTGTCGTGTCAGCATTGCTCCTTGACAGCTTGCCAAGGTTATGTTTGTAATTTGCACCTGACATGAGGCAGATTCTGGATATGTTAACCATAAAAAGTATTGTTGTTTGGTCTCTATCAATTTAGAAGGTGATCTGCAGAGAAAGCAGCAAGCTTAGTTTGTAAATGCACATTCAGATAAAAATTATCATGAATTTTCTCTTCTTACCAGTTGTGAACATGCTTTTCTGTCTTCTACCAGAAGATTAGGCAGCTGCAATGAGAAACAATCCTACTTCTGCTTAGAATCCACTTATATCCCTTCATACCTCTGTGTTTTGTTCTGGAGGTGTTCAAAATGTTCAGTTCTTTCTTTGTCTTCAGTCCTGTATATTCCTGCATGAGGCTTATGCCCTGCTAGTGTGATACATAGGAATTGCCGTCACTAAGTGAAACAGGTGTTTGTGCAGATACCTTGAGGAAGGAATTATTACTAATACATACTGATTAGGAAAAGAGGATGGTTCTTCTGTGGCCCTAAGAAATTAATGAGGGGGTTGAGAGGGTAAGGAAGCAAGGTGTGGGAGTTAAAAATCAGATGGGAAGTGAAGAGGTAGGAGTTAAAGGACTTTTGTTTATGCTGACAGAAGAGGGGCTGGCTGGTACTTGCAGGAGAGTCTCGATTCTTTTCAAATCATGTTTGCTTTCTAATGTTACACCTGAGACAATCAAAACTGAAAAGCTTATTATGCTATCTCTCCTTTGTTATTAATTGTGCCAAATGTGATGTTTGTATAGCCCCTGTATGAATCAGTCTGAGGAGTTAAACTGGCAAGAAGTTATCAGGAAGAAAAAATGTCTCTGTTAGCTTGTTTCCCTCTGTAATATGTGGTGGAATCCATCAAACCCCAGAAGTGCTGCATGGGAGGCAACAAGACTGAAATGTTGAGAAAGCACTTCTCCTTGAGTTGATGCAGATGTAGCCTAAAACCACAGCTGAAGACCTCAGATGATGGATGCATTTGTGTTAAAGAGCTTTTTATGAAGTGCCAAACAAGAAAGCTCTCCTGTGAGTAGTTAAAATGATTAATAAACAATTGTTCCCCAAGGCTATGGATGGAAAATAAACCTTTCAGACAGCCCTGAAATTGTGTTAGGTTTGTAATTAAGTTATTGTCTGCAGAATGTGGATGTGCTCAGATAGCAATGGGGCAGGTGCACTGCTGCTCAAAGCACTTCAGCAATTTCCAGGATTCACAGAGATGGGACTGGGCTGCTGCAGAAATGATGGATAGCAGAAACAATCTGCTTACAATCTGACATAATGAAGTGTGCACCCTGTTCAGGTGGTGGTAAATTTTGAGAGCAGCAGGCAGTTGTTATTAATGGCTAAATCTTAGATTAGGCTGTGCTAAAGGTCAGGTGTTTTTAGGACTTCTCCTGACACAGATTCTTAATTCTCTTTGTGAATTATGAAACGTGCAGACCAAGAATGACATTCTTTTGTGCAGCACTAAGAGTGACATCAGCACTTAAGTACGAGTTTAATGTCTTCTCTTTGTGTAACTACCCAAATCTGCCTTAGGCATATTCTGATTAAAATGGAGAAGATAAAGCCAGGCTTTCCGAAGTCTTAAAATGTGATTTGAAAGATGTTTTTAGCATTATTGGTTTTTCTTTTCTAGTGTATTCAAATCCCAGAGTCTACTTCTGCAAGAAAGGGCTGCCACCAAAACTCCCTGACAAGCCTTAATTCTTCAGACCACATCAGGATAAGGAGGGGATCGAAGTAAAGGTAGGAAATTGAGACTCTGTGCCTCTGAGCTGACCTCACCTTCCAAGTCTGGGGCAACCTTAGAGCTGCAGAGCTGAGAGGTGATGTGGGATTCTGTTGAAGACAGATCAACCATCTAAAGCTCTGCTTTGCTTTGTTTGCTCAGGGCAGAATGTCAGAGCTGAGTGATGAAGCCAGTGAGTCGGAGCTGCTGAGCCGCAGTCTGTCCATGTGGCATGGGGTGGGTCAGCTGCTGTGTCGGGAAGAGCTGGATGTTCCCCTGGATTTGCACACAGCCTCTTCCATTGGCCAGTATGAAGTGGTGCAGGAGTGTATTCAGTGGTAAGGATTGGTTGGAGAGGGCACAGTTCAATTGTTCTCCGTGACTTAAGGTTTTTCTCTGTTTTTCTATGCACTGGAACAGGTTGCCCAAGGAGTTTGTAGGTGCCCCATCCCTGGAGGCATTCAAGGCCAGGCTGGATGTGGCTCTGGGCAGCCTGGTCTAGTGGTTGGTGACCTGCACACAGCAGGGGGTTGGAACTGGGTGATCATTGTGGTTCTTTTCAACCCAGGCCATTCTGTGATTCTGCTGTGCAAGAAGCAGAATCTTGACCCAGAAGGGTCTAGGCTGCTGATTAAAAGCTCTCGGTGATTTGATGGAAGCTTCCAGAGCTGGCAGGAATTCCCATGCAGGCTTCAGTGCTGGGTTATTTTTATGCCTTCTTTCAATACAGTGGTGGTAGCAGAGACTACGGGTACTTACTGCAAGGTCCAGGCTAGTAATTTAGCTGAATTTTTTTTTTGTTGTTATTTAGTGGAGATGTGGATTTAAATAAGAAGAATTGTGGTGGCTGGACTCCATTGATGTATGCTTCCTACATTGGCCATGACACCATTGTGCACCTGCTGCTGGAGGCAGGAGTGAATGTGAACATCCCAACTCCAGAAGGACAGACACCGCTCATGTTAGCCTCCAGCTGTGGAAATGAAAGCGTTGCCTACTTCCTTCTCCAGGTGTGTATTCTGTAAGAAATAGGTAAAGCCATGCTATGTGATTTAAATGTACGGAGTAGGCTTCTTCATCAGCTGCAACCACTGTGTTATTTGTTCTGTTGAGTCCAGCTTCCTGACAGGGATTTAAACTCTCTTGGTATCACAGCACAGAGGGGCAGTGGCTAAGAGACCCAGCAGAGGGGATGCAGTAAAGAACATTCTCTGTTCTCTTGAAGCAAGGCGCAGAGCTGGAGATGAAAGATATTCATGGTTGGACTGCCTTATTTCACTGTACCAGTGCTGGACATCAGCAGATGGTCAAGTTCTTACTCGACAACGGGGCGAATGCTGACTGCAAGTAAGGAGGAATCTATTGCTTAATTTCTATCTAGAGAGATTAGATTTACTGCTGGCTTAACTATGGGATAAACTGAAAGAAAACAGGCACAGCACCTTCTGAACTCATTTTTGAAGTGTGTGGTGAATTCCTGTGGCTTGAGATCTGCTGGTATGTTTATGCACATTAAATTGCCTAAGAACAGCAAGATGTTCTTGCTTTGCTAGGTCCTGGGGTTCTGTAACTGAGAGGCAGGAGTGCAGCTGGAGGAATAGCCTGTTTCTGTACAGAGTAATGTTTGCTGTATTTATTGAGAGACCAGAATTCAGTAGAATGGCCAACATATCACACAGTTTGTGACCAGATAAAGGTGAAGCCAATTACTGTATGTCAACAATGCAGCATGTTTTCTCTTTGATTATTTTAGCTCTTGTGTGTGTTTTCCTCTCTAGGGAGCCTGTGTATGGATATACTCCTCTGATGGAAGCAGCTGCTTCTGGCCATGAAATAATTGTTCAGTACCTTCTCAATCATGTGAGTGTCCGGACAGGTCTCTAAATAAAAATCTGTGGTTCTGACCCTCAAAGAGGAAGTAGGACAAGGCTAATATCCATCTTTTCAGTGTTATTTGATTTTTGACCATCATCTCTGATCTGAAGCCCCAGATTTCTGAAAGCATCTGTTTTCTGAAGGCTAGTACTCTAATTGTACAATGCTTGCCTTTCCCAAGCAGGAATAAGGTCTATCTGATGTGACTGAATCCTGGCTCAGTCAGGAAGCAGCTAATTCAGTAATCTCTGTGCTGTGTTCACAAGGTTATGTGCTTGGGCTAGTGGACCTGAAGCTTATTGGCATTCATGTGTCTTAGTATCAAACAATTAGTTTTTAATATCTCATTTAATGGTCCAGCTTACTTCCAGAAGGAGGCAGCAATGCAAAGCATTCAGATAAAAACCAGCTAGCTCCCTCTGGCAATGCACAAGAGCTGTATAAGTAAGCTACTTGGCATTTGGGGATTGTTGAGACCAAATGATTAGAAAGGCAACAAAGGTATTTATTAGTGGAGCTTGAACTATCAAAGGTGAGCCTGTATTTCTGATAGGTTTGATAAACTAAGACAGTTTGTCTTGAATATCTTATTTCATAGTACCTGCTATAAGCTTTTCAAATGCCTGTTTTCCTATAGGGGGTGAAAGTAGATGCCAGAGATAACACTGGAGCCACAGCACGGACGCTGGCTATGAAGTATGGACATACAAAGATTGTGGGGTTGATAGACTTGCATGCAGCTCCAGTGCCCAAGGTCTTCTGCAGGGGTCCAGGTAACAGGTTTTAGTTTGCTTGTTTTAAGATAGAACCTGAAGATAGGTGCTTGATCAGTGTGGCATTATGTATATATAGGTAAAACTAGCTGCTCTGACCTGGAATTTTCAGTGCTTGTGAGGATGTAAGAGGCAGAGATCCAGCACTTTTTATTATGGTTTACTTGCCCCTTCCTGACCTAGTTAAATTCTCTCCTGTCTTACAACATTTTCTTTTTCTGTTGCTCTTGTAGGATCAGTAGTAAGTCGGTACATAAATTACCAAGCTGCTAACAATCTCTCATTGGACCACAGGAAAATACGAAGAGCTGAGCTCCTCAGATGAATCGTGCTCTGCTCCCCAGAGACAGAGACCTGTTCGTAGGACCAAGGGTCCCAGCATCCATGATGGACCCCAGGCTTTGGCTAAGATAACAGCAGTTGGAATTGGAGGAAAGAAGCAGTCTCGCTATGGTAAGAATAGTTAGAAGCCTAGCTGAGAGTCATGTGTGATTTCTTAAGTGCTTTACAGCTATTTCTGTGCCAACAATATCTTTTCATTAAAGTTTTTCATGCATGGCTTATACAGAAACAAAAATGGTGAACTCCCTCATACAAGGTTATGCAACAACGAAATGAAACCCACTGAATGCATTTGTCCAAGCTGGATATTGATGAGTGGGATGCTATATGCAGGACAAGCACTCCTTGATAATGAGTCAACTTGCTGTTTCCAGACCCCTCTGCTTTGTCTTCATACATGCTTGAAATATTATTTATTAAAAAAAAAAAATAGGAATTTAAGAGCATATTCAAAGCTTAGTTCATTCTCTTAACATAGATACAATCGCTGTCCATGGTGCAGTAGGTATCAAAGCAATTGCTCTTGAAATGAGTGGGATGCTACTGGGGTATTATCACAGGTGCAGAGAAGTTAGCTTTGCTTAGCTAGAGGTGAGGCATAGTTGGTATCTTGCTTTCTTAAACAAATGTTTTTTTTGCTTTAGTAGTGGGGATGTGAGAAGAACTGCTGAAAGCTGCTCTATAAGTAAGGTGTATTTCTGCTGAGTCTATTTCAGCTCTTTCCTTTTCATCAGTGCTGCCATGTAAATAAAGTACAGCTGATTTGATGTAGGGAAGACTGTAGATGTGTATCTGGGGGAGTGTTAGGTCATGAGGAGCTGGTGAAGGGGTGTAGCTGGCCCAGAGAGCACAGGCAAATTGGTTGCACCTGTACTTCCCATGCCACCCAAGAGGGTGGGCCCAGGGTAGGGTGGAACCCCTGAGTTCATATAGGGGCCAGTCAGAGAGGAGAGCTTCTCTTGGTCCTTGGCTGCTTCCTGAGAAGGGTTGCTGTATAGTCAGTGAGCCCCTTTACCAGCTAGGTGAGTTCAACTCTTTCTGTATATGACTACTGGCTTGCCTGCAGATACTTTAGTATTGCCAGAAACCTGTCAGAAACAATTCTGGTATTTTGTAAGCAGAACAGTATGCATTTTCCACTTTTTGTGTGCTTTTTAAAAATGGCTTCTGCTAGTTGAAACAACAGTCTTCTGATTATTTTCAAATACATGAGCTACTGTGCTTTCTGCTGGAACCTCCCTGGTAACTTGCATCTTAATTACTCTGTTCTCCCCTCCTCTTGCACACAGAGCAAGTCTTGCCTCAAGGTTATGTTACCTTCAGTGATGATGGCAGCTGTGAAGCTGATGATATCCGGAACCGGGATGTTACCTCTCCAATTAATGAGCAAGATGTGGAGAGCAGCAGCAGCAGGGGTAAGTCACTATTTTAGAAAAAAAAAATGTGACTTGCAGTGCACAGCTGGGTGGTGAGACCAGACCTGTGGCTTCCATCTTTGCTTTCCAATGTCCTTAGACTGTTAGGAAGCAGTGGTCACTGGATCTTCACCTCTGGCCTTAGTCTCTATTGTCACACTACTGTATCAGTGGCCAGAGAGAAGTTGCTTGACTCTCCAAGCAGAGTGAGATGCCCCAGTATGAGGACAGAAAGAAAAAGAAGCGAGGTTCTGAATGCTGGCTTTACCTTTGTCTTTAGTAGTAAGCTCTCAGAAATGCCCAGAACCTTAAGTCTGGAGCAGGGTGAGGTCTGGAGCAAGGAAGACTATCCCTGAGTGAAAAAGAATCAGAATCCAGCAAAAGGCCACTAAGATGTTGAAGGTTGAAGTATCTCCCTCACAAGAAAATGCTCAAGTGAGTCAAGATGGTTTAGTGTAAAGAAGAGAAGGTTCTGTGGGAATATCAGAACGTACAAATATATGAATGGAGGAGGCAGACACTTCTCATTCCGATCCAGTGATGGAATGGGGGGATGATAAGCACAGGCTGAAATAGTAGTTTCCCTCTGAATTTAAGAAAATGTTTTCTTACTGTGTGGGTGTCTGAGACTGGAGCAGAGTACCCAGAGGAGTTGTGGAGTCTCTGTCCTTGAATATGCTCCTCTACATGGTTCTAATTGGCTTCAGTGTGATTTTGAACAGTGCAGCCTCGAGAGGTCCCCTCCAAACTCAACCATTCTCTTTTCCTGTAAAACAATACAATGAAGGGTGTTATGGACAGTTCCTAAATTGGCAGAGGATAACATGGCACTATGTTGGCTCTGTGCTCAGGGAAAGACCTTTCCTGGATTTTAGTAATGGGGAGTGTAGTCTTAATGATAATGAGCCACCTTTCCACTCAGTCATCAAGAGACTCAGAAACATCCACACCTGGCCTTCCTGCTCTCTGTGGTGCTTAAACTGGCTTAGAGAAATTCTAGTGCTTGGGATCAGACTTGAGATATTGTCTCGGAATCATTTTGTATCATGAATATTGCATGTGAAGAGGAAACCCAGAGCAAGTTTTCTATTATATCGCCCAGCAGATCTCACTAGTTGTTGTGTGGCAATATAGCCCTGAATGTAATGAAGTGCAACCTGAAGGTTTTTTTTTCCCTTGTTCCTTTCCAGAGGATAATGTTTTCTTCACCAACAACTTAGCAGCCATCAGGAGCAGCAGCAGCAGCAGTGAATGCCTGACTAAAGCCCTAGGGGTCAGCAGTGAGGGCTCCTTGGAAAGCAATGAGGTGAGGTGGTGCATTTTTCTTTGTCTACCTTTGGCTTGGCCTGTGCTGTCACCCTTCCACAGCCTGCTACCTCCACAGGAGGATGTAGCACTGGGCTGAGTGAGGATGGCTGGTATACTGGGACAGGAAAACAAGCTTCCCTACTTGGGGATTGGCTTGTTTGATCTAGTAGCCAGATATCGAGAGCATAGGTTGTTGATGGTGGGTCAGTATTTTTCTAATCTCTCTCTTGCTTCTGAACATTTTCTTGAATGCCATCTGGTTAGCAGTCTGTAAAGGGTGTCTGTCCCTTACTAGAAGTGTGTCAGTCCTTTAGCTTGGTGAGATCAAGCAATTCTGTAAGGTCTAGAGAAGCACAACAGTGTTGTTGTTGATTCTGAAATATGAAAGGGGAAGAAGAGGTGGCAGTTATTCTGTGGTTCAAGTCACAGCTCTTTCTATAAAGCCAGCTCTGGGCTGGTGTAGAGAAGAGTCACTGTTGTGCTCTCCTCTCTGTTGTGCTTCTCACCAATGGAAGCTCAGAGCATTTTGTAGTGGTTCAGGGAGGATTCACTGCTGTTCTTTGCTGCAGCATGCTACTTCATAGTCTGGCATTGTAGGGGCCTGTCACCATTACAGATGGTCATACTGTAACAAGCTGCCATCTTGACAGTGATTTGACTCAACCCTTTCTGATAATGTCTTTTCTTAGCTTTTATTGCTTGTGTTTGTAGACCGCTGCCTGGATTCAAAGCTTTGTACTGTGCTTGTTAGACATAGTGATCCTGGTACCTCTGCATGACCATCCTTCACCTTGTTTCCTGTTTTTTCTTCAGGATTCTGACCATGCAGGCAGTCCTCCTAGTAGGAAACAAGCCAAAAGCTTCAAGGTCAAGAACCGCTACAGCAACAGTGATGGTCAGTGGAGCCACTGCCCAGGGAAGGCTGGAGCTTCTAATCAGCACCTCATCTTTCCTGAGCCCCCTGCCTATACAGGACCCCAGGTAACTAAGGACAGAAAGCTGTGTCTGAAGTAATGCAGATCACATCGCTGTGTCAAGACTGAGGGGTTTCTTTGAGGCTATCCAAGCTGCTTTCCTGGCCTCAGATAAGAGGGGGAAGCTGATACCAAGATCTTTTTGATGCCAAATGACTGTCCAGGTATAAATGCTTGTGAAAGAGCGATTTCTGGTGTGAAAAGCTGCCAGTTTAGATGTTGTTATTGCTTGGAGAAGTATTCCAGATTTCATTGGGGCTGTTATGGGGCCTAAGGCAAGTGTTGATTGATCTGTTTTCTCTGCACTTGTTACAAGAATAACTGCAGTGTGCAGGCCGGTCCTCTTGTGTTCTGTGATTATAAAGAAGGGCAGTTAATAAGGGAAAGTCGAGATTGTTGCTGGAACTTAGGAAGACATAGCAACATCATCTTCCTCATGTTGCTGCTGACAAGGGGAGTGGTTATGGTTTTGTTTGTGATGGTAGAAATAGTTTTTGTTTGTTCTGCAGGACCTTGCAACATTCCTTGAGCAAATTGGGTGCCTGAAGTACCTGCAAGTGTTTGAAGAGCAAGATGTTGACCTCCGCATCTTCCTCACCCTCACAGAGAGTGATCTGAAGGAAATTGGCATCACGTGAGTGTCTGTAAGGTAGTTCTTTCTGCCTAAAGCCAGCCACACATGCGACCTGGTCAAAAAAGCTTAGCTGGTGAGTGTTTCTCTAATTAGGCAGCCAGCCTCCCACACAAATCTGATATCCCTTAGTTCTTGGCTGCAGCAAGTTTCTTGTTGGAGGTGTTTGGAAGGAGGCAGGAGGTTGCAGAGGTCCTCCTGCCATCCCGGGCACAGGTGGTACAGTGTTTGCCCCCTGAATTTGCCTTTCTTCCACCAGCCTGTTCGGACCCAAGAGGAAGATGACTTCAGCTATTGCCCGATGGCACAGCAATGCTCGGCCACCCAGTGATGCCCTGGAGCTGGCCTATGCAGATCGGCTGGAAGCTGAGATGCAGGAACTGGCCATTCAGCTGCACAAGGTAAGAAGTCTGCTGTGAGATGTTCAATGGCATGTTATGCTCTAGTGAATGTTCAGCAATGTATTTCTATGTTTTGCCTCTAATGGAGTGGGTTGAAGGAACAAATAACTGATCTACTCCATATCTGTTGTCTACTGACCATAACCCGTAAGAACAAATTATTCACTCCTTTTATCTCTGCTTCATGCTTGCAAAGTCTCTTCATCTGTTTCCCTTCTGCTTGAGAACTAAAAGCAGAGAGGAGGAGAGGTGAAAAGGTGAATGGAATTGAATTACTTGCTTTTATTGCTCTATGTGAAGTTGGGCAGTCAGTAGCAGATAGGCTTATCCCAGTGTAGAAAATTGGATCAACTGAATATCTTTGGAAATAGAGAGCAAGAGGAACTTGTAACCTTGAGTTGGTTTTTGGATAGAATCTGTAGTGTATGAACAGTGGGACAGCTTCCTTTCTATTGGTTTTGGCAAACTTTTTATAGGGACCCTATCCAATAGAGATGTCAGAGCAAGTGTGTTTAATAGTGATGTACTGTACTTGCAGCCTAGTCATCTGTTCCTTTCTGCCCTGCTGTAGAGGTGTGAAGAGGTGGAGGTGATGAAGGGCCAGGTATGCCAAGAGCAGAAACTGCGTGCAGTGGCAGAAAGCTGTCTGATGGAGAGAGATGAGACCTGGAATGCTGTCCAGTGCCAGCTCCGAGAGGCTCAGACTATCACCAAGGATGCTGGGGTCTTGCTGGACCAGATCAAGTAAGTTGCTCCCAGAAAATGGTACTGAAGCTAATGGAGAAAGTGGGAATTTGGGTAATGCTGAGGTGTCAGACATTGGCACTCTTAGAGGTAACTGCTAGTGTGAGGCTGGAGAGCTCACTAGGCATCTGAACCCTTTCTGGATCCTCTTTCACTTTCTCTAGTGGAAATCTGAATGGATATCAACCCTTAGTCGGATGTGTGGATTATGAATGTTCTAGCCTTTCAGAGATGCTGAGTGCTTCTGTACCAGCTCAAAGGAGCTGAGCACCTTCACTTTTGAAACCAAAGGCTTAAGTAGTTTATTTGTGCTTACATGAAACCTAATTACCAGGTTGTAGTTTGGTGATTGCATGAATGCAAGAAAGAGTTTCTGACTTCCAAATAGTATTAGAGGGCTTTCAACGTCCTACCTCTGATGCCTGACAGAAAAGCCTGCCTTGTTCTTGCCCACTGCCTTTTGAGTTCCATCTTTCCCTTCCTTGTAATATATCCTTTGCTGCCTCTCTGGTGCTTTTCTCCTGGCCCAAGCTGAACTCCTGGTCTGTCATGGGCTCTGGTCTGTTGGCTGGTAGGACTGAGATTACTGAATGTGACCATGGTCCTGCTGCTATAGTTCCTAGCCAAAAGGGGAGTGGGGTCAGCCAGGGATTGGTTTGGTTTCCAAAGGACAGCAGATGATATTCCCAGAGTACTCTTCCCTATGAGGAGCTGAGGCTGCACTGTTTGAACTGATGGTGTGACATCCATCAAAATGTTACACGTGCCCCCGATGCCTGTCCTGAGGTAGCTTCATTTGTCTGCTAGGAACATTGGACTGGGCTTGATTCTCATATAAACCAGATGCCCCTGGCTTAGGCTTTCTCCTGCTCACTCCGCCCCCTCCTTCTCTTCTCCCCCCGCAGCTCCTCTGTGGACAGGGGCAGAGATTGCTGTGGAGATGGGGCACAGTGGAGAGCGCCCTGAGCTTTGTCTGGGGCACGTCTTCCTCTTCCTGGGAAGGAACAAGGAGCAGTTTGTAACCCAGGGCGTTAGATGTGGTCCCTCGGCATCCCAAGCAGGTACTTGCAGGATGTAGGAGGGCACAGACCAGCATGCTGTTCCAGAAAGCACCCTGTGCACTTCTAACATACTTTTATTTGTCTTGTTTGGCAGATCCTGTCAAGCAGAGCTGTCCTCCCGGCTAACACAAGAGCAGGCAGCTGGCAGAGTGCTGGACACAAAGGGGCAGCTGGGAACTGGTGAGATTTAAGTGCTGGGAATGGAAGAGCTTCTAAACTAAAATGGGTGCAGGGTGGGTAAACAGGTGCAGGGGGTGAGTATACAGTGGGAGAGTCCAGTGCAGGCTGTATGCTTGTCTTTTATTGCTAAAGTGTGACACTGGATGTAGTATGGGAACAGATGAGCAGTTAAACACCTACACTTAAGCATAAAGGTCTTGCCTCTAAGGCATCTAAGACTTTCACTGCAGCAGAATTTCCCTGAGGCTCTGATCCTTTGCAAGTGGGAAGCTCTAGGGCCTGGCGGGTGTTTCTGGCTAAAAATGCAAAGCTGTAGCACAGGCATTCAGTGGAGTCCTACTTCATGTGCCTGTAGCTTCCCCTTCCTACTCTGTAATGTGGGCCTCTCAGGTGTGTTACAGCAGTGTGCACTAGAACAGGGTCTGAATCCAAAGAGGTGGATACTTGTTGGTTCTCTGAGGTCTGGGGGATTGTGCTGCTTGTGTACTGAGGCAAACTGCTATATGTGGCTGGACAGGGTTGGCCCAGCAGCTCCTTACCACAGGGAGCCAGCAAACAGTCATGCTGTCCTAGATACAGTGTCCTTTGCTGCTTGGGTGGTAAAAGTGATATTTACAGAGATGATGATTTCAGTCCACCACAGTTAATCTTTGAGATCTTTCTTTGTGATCTAACCAGTACTCTGGGGGGAAAAAAAAATCATAAGTGGGTAGAGCTGCTTGAAAACAAATACTTAATTTCTGTCACAAGAAATTCCATCTCTCTTCATCTGTGACTCAACCCACAACTGAAACAACTTTGGTGTACACACTTCCCAGCAGCACCAAACCCTTGTCTGTTGCAGAGAACAGGCTTGCTGACAAATGTGTGGTTCCTTTCTTACAGCACAGGGAGGATGGCCACTGTCCTTGAAGTCTCTGAGCTTGCCTGAGCTGTCAGCTGTCCTCGAGAAATGTGTGGGAGAAATGGGTAAGGGGGGGGTAGACTCTGCTCTCATGGAGTGACTGCTGGAGGAGGGAGGTGTGGCAGGGCAATGTTTTGATTATTTCACAGAGATGTGGGTTGGGGGGACCTAGTAACCCCCTCTCATCCTGGGAAGTCTCCTAGCTATAAAGCTGTCACTGGAATTTTCTTGCACTTAATTCTCACTGTAGATGTTGAGCTCTGCCTCATCCTCTGCTGACAGGTCTGATCTAAGAAAAGAGAATCCAAAACCCATTTCTCTCCTACAAATCAGTAATCAGAGCTGCTGGTGCAGGGTTTTTGAAATCCTGTGTCCTGAAGACAGGAGCTTGTCCCAGCAACTGGCACATTCTTGTTTCACGTTCTTGTTTCAGAGCCCTGAAAGCTGCAAGGGTAAAGGCAGGATAGCAGTCTGCAGACTATTCTTGACCACTTGCAGGCTTGTAATGATTTATGTGCAGCTTATAATGACTTTTTCCTTTTGGTTTGCCCTCAGGAAAAGCTCTGCAGATGGTAACTCAAAACCTCCAAAGGCTCCAGGCCCCAGGGCAGGGTGCGCAGAGCTGGCTAGAGCCATAACAAAGCACGATGGTGAGTGGGAACTAATGACAGCCACTGAGGGCTGTGGGATTGAGGGGGCATTGTTCCATTGTTCCTTATAGCAAGTAGCAGCTGTCTTCTGCATCTGCCCAGTGCTTGTCATAGCCTTTGACTGGGATTTTCATTTGGAAAATCTGTTGTCTCTGTGCTCCACTGAAAGGGTAACTGTGCTGTTTTTCCTGGTGCCTGCAGGAATACTGACGTCGGGTGACTGTTCCACCCGGAATCTGAGCGTGCCTGGGAGAATGAGCACAAGGACTGTGCTGGCAGCGCCGCAGCTCTGTGGAGAGTGTTGTGACAGCTGGCAGATGTGTGGACAAAGATCTCGGCCATCAGAATGTGCCAGGAGAATGAGGGATGGCAGAGGACAAGGATACAGCAGCTCTCTGGGCCTGGTTCCTGTCTAGGTTCCCAGGGCTGTGCTGTTTGTACCAGAAGTTCAAGTTAAGAGAAGAAGCCCAAAGGATTTATCTGCCTTAAACTTCCTGCAGCCTTTGTTGTTCAGGGCTATGTTGTGTTAGAGCTGACAGCTGCCCACAGCCAACAACTAATTATCCTTTTCCACATCCTATCCTCCCCAAGGCCTCCAACAGATGAGTGGTAGTTGCTGAGGAGCTGACACAGAAAATGTGTCTGAGGCAGTAAGGAGTGCAGGCTTGTGAGATGAGTAAAGTGAGCAGGGTTGGTGATGTCTGAGCAACACATGCAGCCAAGTCTAGCTGGAACATCTTCCCTGCTGTTGTCTCAGATCTGTACTTCAAAACTGCCCCCTTCAGCTGGCCTGCCTTGGTTCAGTTCAGATTCTTGCCCCCTTCAGGGCTCATTTTGATCATGTTCTTTACTTCCAAAGAACTTTTTTGTGGTAAATGCTTTGTGGCAAGCATTTACAAGCAGCAGACTCCAGTGGTCAGGTCTGCTGGTGCCAGGATCCCAGCACTGACAGTGGCTGCAAAGCAGATGTGTCCCTGGAAGGACATGAGAGAGAAGGAAAAGCTCAAGACTGTTTGGTCTGCTTTGCCTCTGGCAAGCAGCGGAGTGCCAAGGCAGGCAGGACTAGGACTGAGGCCTTGGTTGGTTAAGATGGATAAAAGAAATCCCATCTCAAATGTAGCTGCACTGCCATGCTTCAGTCCTTAGCTGCTGCCTGCTCTTAGTTCTCAGGCTTCAGTGTTTGGAAAGAAGCCTGCCAAGATGTTCTGGTTGGCAGTGTGATGTAGTTTCATAGGGCAAACAAAAGGTGTGGGGAAAAGGCTGCCTCCCAAGGGGGACTGCCTGATCTCTTGGAGTTGGGCAGAGAATCACAGAATGATGAAATTGTAGAGGTTGGAAGGGACCTCCGGAGATCATTGAGTCCACGTGGGCACTGGTGACTGCTACATGGGTGTAAAGTGGCTTCCAGAACTGCAGCGACTGTTCCTGTGTACTGCTGAGTCTTGGGGGAGAATTATCTTCTGTCTGACTGATGGCCTTGATGAATCTGTAATGGTCTCCATCTATTCCTTGAGAAGAAACTGCATGCTCTTTCAGCACCTCTGATTAAGGGCCAGAAAAAGTACAAAAATCCATCTCAGCTCTATCCTTTGAGCTTGTCACTTCTGGTCAGCTGCCCACAGCTGTTCAGACAAGCTGGAGCCCAGTTTCCCATTGGTGGGGATGACATCTAGTTTGCTGCCTGGGGACAACCTGGGGGAACAGAGATGGGTACAGCCTGCACTGTGCAGTGCTGCAGCTTGTATGTGCGTGGCAGTGTGCTCAGCTGGGGTGTTGATTCTTACTCACATTTAACTCTTGTCCTTTGTTCCTTGGTCCAGAGTATGGGTAGGCCAGAGACTAAGTGTGAAAGAAGAAGGGAGTCCCATGGGATGGGTTCTGCAGGAGCCCAGGCGCCCCAAGGGAATCACCAGGAGTGGGGTTTTATAGAGTAGTGTTCCATTAAGGACAGTAATTCAGTATTCAGTGCTGAAAGGGCAGCTGTGCCAGCAGCAGGGTGACTGGTGCTACCTGAAGTCAAGCTGTCTGTATTAAGTAACATTTGTTACTCAGCTAAAACAATAAAAGCTGAAAACCTGTCTCTGGTGCTTCCTGCGTGGGCCTCTCTGGAAGGAGCTGGAGTTGTGGGACTATGAGTAATCTATTAATTAATTTCAGGAATATGCAGTGCTTCCAGCTTTCTTCCCCAGGGGGCTGCATGCTGCCTGCTTCTGGGGCAGCTTTATCCCTGGTTTCCAGTCCCTGTCTGGTTCATCTTGGAGGTGATGCCCTTGCAGCACCAGCAGGGGAGATGGGCTGAGGGCAGCCATGGGCTGGTGGTTATGGAGCAAGTGCACACAGGTAATGAAGCATGGCACTCTTAAACTCACAGTGTCCTGGCTGTGTGACAAGGAGAGTTGTCTCTGCTCAAAAATGTTGAGCCTTGCTGGGATTTTCTGCTCAAGGTGAGGTACTGTCCTGTGCCTGGCTCCTGCCTGGGACTCTAGGGAGCACAGTCACACCAATACAGCTCACAAAACCTCAGCCAAGCTCTGATCCTGTGCTACAAATAGGAGTGGGAAAACGAGTTAGCAGTTGTTATGGAAAGTTTTAATTAGAGCAACATCAGTCAGACCTCTGATTGCAACTAAAGCTTTGTGTTTCAACACGAAGTGTTCTGGGGCTCTGGACTGGGCGCAGTGGAGCAATATGGGCACGCTCTTGGATTCCTGTGTTCCTGCATCCTGGAACAGCCTGCTTTTCTCTTCCCAAGGCAGCTTGGCATCAGCTCCCATAGCAGCATCCAGCTGCACGCTGCTGTGAGAGTGGCAAAGGGCAGAGAAGGAGCCAGACAGCAATCCAGCTCCTGTCCAGGGAAAGCTCCTTGCTCTGTGCCAAGCAGGGCTGTTGTGAGCTGTAGGTGGCTCTTTGGGTTATCTATCATTATGTTGATTTATTTTGCTGCTTCCCTCCTTGAGTCACCTGCAATGTAACCCAGTGCTGTCTTGAGCACGGGTCCTGAGAGCCCTGTGCTCGTCATGCCTGTTTATTGCCCTGGAGCCAGCAGTGTGTGTACATAAACTCAGCTGCATGTGTACACTTGCACTTATCCCAGTGCCTAAGAGCCATTTCCCTCCCTCAGAGCATACAAGTGGCATGCTCTGCTTGCTGAAAAATAAACCTTTATTTACATCTGAAAAGAGTCAGTGTGCAAAATGGTTTCACAGGGTTTACATCTCTCCAGCAAACCTCCAGTTCAGCCACAGAGCCTGGTGCAGCCTCCTCCAACCTCTACATTTCCCAAGGGCTGGGCCACGCTCCCAGTGATGGAGAACCACCTGTATTCACCTGCATGGAGCTGGGAGTAAGAGCTGCCTCCTCCCTGCTGCTGGAGCAGCAAAGCACTGTGTGATGGGAGCTGCAGCCCCGGTGGCACGTCTGTTCTGCTAATGAAGGGAAGAGTGGGGGGCTGGTGGTGGCATCTGCTGCTGCATTCAGCTTTTATGGGGGCACCGGAGCTGGGAGGAGAGCTCCTGCTGCAGCCAATGCAGCTGGGATGCTGAGCAGCATTAGGGCTCGGGCTGCTGCAGGAGGTGCTGCAGTGCTGTGCTGGGGAGGAGAGCTGGCAGCCAGAGGGACACAAAGAGGGTGGTGGGGGTTGCTCTGTGCAACGCTCTGGATTGAAGGTGGTGGTGAGCAGCTGCTGCAGCACCTCGATGCAGAGAGGTGGCAGGGTGGCCCTGGCTTTAGGGGAGGAGAGCAGGAGTGCAATGCCCAGCATGGTGCTGGCACAGCTCAGGATGTGACGGCTGTGCTCCTGTCCTGCTGCACGGGTCCAGCACAGGTAGGGTGCTGGTGCACGGCTGGGTCTGGTGGCAGCAGCTCTGCTCCTTGCAGCTCTGCACACACACGTGGGGCTGCTGGTGGCTGCTCCCCCACTGTGGGCACTGGGATCAGACCCTCCAGCAGCCGGAGCAGAGCCCTGCAGTGCTGCTATCACTGCGTGCAGCAGAGCGCGGGGTGGTCGAGCTTCCACAGCTGCCACTTCTTCTTCATCTCTGACTTCACCTGGGGTGAGATATCGACAGCTTTTCCCTGGCAATGCCCTCCCAGCACGAGCAGAGCACCCACCCCCATGAGTCAAAGTTAAAGCTACTCTGTTCCACAGCCCCAGCCCAAAACCAGAGCCACGTACCTCTTTGTTGGCAAAGCAGTACAGCACGGCCACCAGGAACCCCTATGGAAACAAAACGGCTGTGAGTCCCCTGGGATGGAGGCTTTGTGTCACTGCTGCCTTTGGGGCCATCCCTAAGAGCATCCCCAATGCAGGCACACCAACTGCCCACGTGGGTTGGGTAGAGGGGGCTGTGCTTGTCCCCAAGTTTGGTCACCGTCGGGGCAGAGGGAAAGGAGAGAGGGCCTCCAACTCTTATGGCCCAGGACAGGGATGGGTTGTGGCCCCACCTCACCTGGAAGGAGTTGAGGAAGAGGGTGAAAAAGACCTTGATGTAGCGCAGGATGCCCGTGGTTTGCTCATCGGTGGCAAAGATGAAGATGACTTCGTGGATCCCAAAGAGGGGGATGAGCGTCAGCGTGGCTTTGGCCAGCCTGAAAGAGGGCAAGGTTACCCATGGGCACGGCAGCCAGCAGGGAGCAGCTCTTATTGGAGCTCAGGGTACTCATGTAACGAGGCACAGGATGGAGGAAGCACACAGGCTGTCCTGCTGCTGCCGCTCACCGCAGCTTGTAGTCGGCGTAGCCCTTCTGGTTGGCACGCAGCTTGGCCAGGATCACTTTGAGGATCCGCATAAAGATCAGCAGGTTGATCTGGGGTGACAGTGTGGGGTATCCATGGAGTAGGGGCCGTCCCTCCCTTCACCCCAACCCCAGCTGGGGGCTGCTCCAGCTTCCAGCACTGTCACTGAGGTTCCCTACCATGGAGGCGAGCAGGATGGGGATGCGGATGATCCACCAGTATGCCATGTTCTCATTCAGTGCCCAGCACCTGCCCACGAGACACAGACAGAGGTGTGGTTGCATGGTGCTGGGGTGCAGGATGAGGCCCCACAAACAGCCACTCACTCTGCATTCTCTTTCAGGTACTTGGCGGCCATCCAGGGCACCACAAACACCACGGGGGTCCCTGCAAGTCACACAGCACACCCTGTAAAACCAAGCACCCGCCTGAGCTGAGAAACCAGCCCCAGGATAGGGACGTTGTGGGGCAGCAGTGGGGCACAGGAACGGTCCTGTGCCACCATGCACCCGGGTGGCTCCTACCCCAGCCCAGGTACAGGTACAGCCGGTAGTAATTCTTCTCAGAGAAGACTGCACCGATCAGCAGCTTGTAGAGGTAGACGGCCTCCACCAGGAACCAGTAGTGGTTGGCCAGGATGCAATACTGCATCAGCACCTGCGCTGCACGACAGCCCAGCGCTGCCTGTCACAGAGAGACAGCGTGGGGCTGGGGGCTCATCCATGGGGTGCCCCAACAGCTCACCCACCACATGCAAGGATGTTCTAAGAGCTCAGCCACGGTGTGCACGGATGCACCAAGGACTCCCCTATGAGATACGTGTGTCCCTCAGAGCTTCCTTACAAGGAACAGGTGCACAAAGTGCTCAGCCACAGTGGAGAAACAGCGCACCAAAGTTTGCCTATGGGATCCGTGAGCATCTCAGGAACTTTCTCACGGGCTGCCTGGACACACCAACAGCCCACGGGTTGGGTGCACAGCCCAAGAGCTCACCCACCCACTGGATGCACCCACACACCCTGTGCCCTCACCTCGTGGCTGAGCAGCGCCTGCCAGTCGGCCACCTGCAGCACCTCTGCGCCCCAGCGCCTCTCCAGCAGCGCATCCTTCACCATCACCGAGGTGGCCCGCAGCCCGAAGGAGGCGAACAGGTTGGCGTGGATGTAATTCCTGGTGCAGTGCAGCTTCCTGGGGAGAGCCGTGGGGTCAGCAGCCCTCAGCCAGGCACCCAGGGCACAATATGCCCACAGCCCTGCTCCTACCTGAAGACGGTGAGGACGAGCAGAGCGGAGATGAGGGTGAGGAGTGACAGCGCGTAGCCCACGGTGTACAGCACTTTGAAGCTCACCATCAGCCTGCGGGCGCCTTCCTGCAGGTAAGACCTGTGCCGTCAGCACCCGCTGCCTGCCACGCACCCTATGATGCCCCCACCCCACCGGGGCTCCCACCTCCTCGGCGCCATCCTCCAGCTCCTCCTCACACTGTGAGTAGTCCCTCCATGGCTGGCTGCCGTTCACCGTCACCCACTGCCCGTCAGCACCGCAGCGCCGGCTCACCAACCCGTGCTTCACTGCAGGCACAGAGTGCAGTGCGTTCCTCAGGGTGCCCAGCTGGCAGCCCCCAAACGGCAGCAGGCACCCATTGGCACTGTGTTCTCATTGCCCTCCCCGTGCCACACGTGCCCCCGGCCCTTCTCACCCCGACCCACCGCGCTCAGCCCCAGGCCCTACAGCCCCAGCTATGGGACGGCCGCGGCTCAGCGTCACCTTTCTCAAACCAGGGCAGGTAGAAGGGGCAGGAGACGTTGACGGCGGTGCCGGGGCTGCCATCGGGCCAGCAGGCGTACATGTCAAACGTGCGGTTGCAGAAGAGCCCTTGGGTCGATGGGGAGAAGCCGACAGTCGGATGCAGGCAGCTCAGACCCCCCCCCCCGGTGCCCCACACGAGACTGCAGACCCGCAGCCATCGGGGCGTGAAGCCGTGACCCGGAGCCGCCCCGCTGCCAGCCGTACCTGCGGGGTAGGGCTCGCTCGCCATCCTCCGCAGGCACTCATCCCGGTACCGCATCCACTCCTCGAAGGTCCTCTCCAGCACCTTGGCCCCGCCGTGCTGCGGCGCAGAGCGGCTCAGAGGGACACCCCGAGGGCAACCCCCCCCACACACCTCCCAACACCGGTCCCCACGGCCGCCCCTTACCGGCACGGCGGAGAAGAGGCACATCCACGCGAGGTGCACGAGGCACCCGGGACCCGGGGCGTCCCTCATGGCTGTGCCGGCTCCGGCGCTCTGCTCCCCGCGGTTGGTCCTGGCTCAGCCCCGGGCCGTGTCCCTGCCGGACCCCGACACCTCGGGGAGCCACCACCGCACCGCACCGCTCCCCGCAGCCCGGCTGCCCCAGGGGGTCGGCGGCGGGGCCGGGGCGCGGCGGGTGCCACGGGAGTCCGGAGCCTTCCCCCCAAAGCTCTCCCTCCCATCAGAGCTCCCCCTCGTCCCGCATCCCCCTGGCTGAGCCCCCCCGCAGCCGCCCTGCCTGTCTCCCAGTACCCCCGAGGGGTTCCGATCGCTCCGCACCCCCCCCCTTTCAGCACGGCTCCCCCCGCAGCCCCCCGTTCCCTTACCGTGCGCGGCGGTTCCGCAGCCCGGGGCTCAGCGACGCGAACGCGGCAGCGAACGGGCGGCGAATGCGGCCCCGCCGCTTCCCACCAACGCCGAGCCCCGACGGGGGGGGCGGGGGCGGCACCGCCTCCCGGGGCTCAATCAGGGCTGCCCCACCGAGAGCGAGGCTCCGGGGGGAGGAGAGGGGGACACACATAAGAAGGGATCCCCTGAGCCCTTGGAGTGGTGGTGACAGAGGGGTGCAGACCCCTTTAATACATCCTAGGAAGGGGCACGGGGTGCTGTGCCTGCTGTGGTGGCTCTGTCCTTTAGTGGGGTGCTGCTGGGGTCACCTCACCCTCGGGGACAGGGAGTGGGCAGCAGTGCTGGGGGGGTAAGGGGGCACAGCCCAAAGTCGGGGTCCATTGGCAGGCGGTGCGGGGACGAAGCGTGGGGCAAGCAGGTGGGTGGGGTGTCCCTAAATGCATCGATGTCTGAACACATCCAAAGCACGTTTATTGAGAAGAGGATGTGATGTTTACCCTGAAACCAATCCGGTGGGCTCTGCACAGGGGAAGCAGCTCAGTGCAATTAGCAGTTGCATCTGTTGCTCCAGTGAAACGAAGGAGGGCTGAGGGTTGGCTGCAACCTCTGCCTGGGGGGATGTGTGCCCTCGGGGTGCCCTCTCCAGCCCAGAATTCTGCTTGTGAAATGGGTGGCCCTGGCTCTGCTGTGTGCTGTGTGGGGTGGAGATGGAAGGTGGATGCCGTGGGGCTTCTCTGCACAAACATCATTGAGCACTGAGCACAGGGCACAGCACGGTGCTGCCCACCACGCCACTGTGGGATGCTACAAATCCTACAGGACAATGCAAAGGAGTGTTTGTGTCTGCAGGCAGCGTTTGCTGGGCCAGAAGGGCTCTTACCCCCAGAGCAGCCTTGCTGGAAGAGAGGATGATATTTAGAATGGACAGCAGGAGGCACGTGGCCATAGGGCACTGTTGCTGTGCTGCTTCCCTAGGGCTCTGCTGTTCTCCTGGATGCAGTCAGCTGTTGGGATGTGGCTGTGCTGGGAGCCTGGGGCACAGCAGAACGACGGGGCACACATTTGGGGTTGGGTTGGGGTTGGGATCCCCATGGCCCTGCACCATCCTGCAGCAGAGTGGTTGATGCCAGCACACACGGATGCTCAGTGGTCCGGAACACACCTGCAGGGTGCCCTGAGAGCAGGAGGGCTGCTGGCTGCTGGCACTCTTTGGCCATGAGGGCTGCTGGCTGGGCTCCCCATGTTCCCCAGCCATAGGGCTGGAATCAGCTCGGCTTTCAGGGCTGGTGGAGAAGGGACATGAGGAACACACCGTGCCTCTCCATATGGATGCCCTCAGGCAGGGTCTCCATAGCGACTGCGGTTCAGCGGGGCTGCATCCTGGCCATGGGGCACCACTGAGCGTGGCTGGATGTGAGCCAGCTCCATCTCCCCACACTGTTCCAAAACAGCAGTGTCCCTGTCCCCGCTTAGGATTATGTGGGCACTCTACATCTGTGCCCCACATCCCGCTGTGTGCAGCCCCACAATGCCTGGGGGAGCTGAGCATCGAGTGGAGGCACAGCCTGAGTGCAGCAGTCGTGTTGGGCCTCACACAGAAGCAATTCACAGAACATATATGCAAATCAACACATCCTGATTTGCAATTATTCAGTGAACTTCTCAGAAAAGGGTGCTGGAGCCTCGCTGGGTACAGAAATCCAGCAGCATGGGGCTGTGCACGGCTACGGGGCTTCTGCTCTGCAGGCCTGCCCTGAGCTCTGGATGGGCTTTGGTCGCTTAAAAAGCAAAGTATTTCAATATCAGCAGATGGTGCTATCAAAGGTAGCTGTGGGAGTGCAGTGCAGCGCTGTGGAAGCAGATCTGTGGAAACTCAGAGCTGCTCACCCTGGGCTTTGCCCCTGGCTCAGGCAGGGATGGATGCTAAAAGCAAATCTCCAGTATTGCCAGAGCCCGGAGCAGCACAGTGCTCACCCAGTGCTGCCACATCCCCCAGCAGTGCTCCTGGTGCACTGCCATCAGAATTCATGCTTCTGCCCCAAAACTCACCCCAAAGTACTTCCCCTTCCTCAGCACAGAGCTTGGGGTGGCACACAGCCCTCACTGGGAAGCACTGCTCACTGCCCTGTGCCCCCAGAGGGGATTGTGCTGGGGTGTTCCTGCAAAGAGCACGGGAAAACCAGCCTTTCATTCCCTTAGATGCTGGAGAGCCTTTCTTACAATAAGATGGTACCAGCTGAGCACCTCTGCAACCCTTCCCACTGGTGGGATCGTTATGGATTTTGAGTGGATCAGCGGGTTTTGCAGAGAACAGGTGTTTATTCCCACTAAAAAGAGTTTTGTGATGCTGGTGGGCAGAGGGCACTGGGGGGGGCAGGGAGAGATGCTTTCCTGAGCAAGCGCCAGGTGAGTCCTTGCATCCCAGAGGACAGATGTACATGGGATGGAGCCGTGCCCCTGGGGACACTGCGACACTCCCTGCTCCATCTCCTGCTCTGACAGATCTGTGCTGGGCTCACAGGGCTGCTGTTGGATTTGGCACTCGCTCCCAGCAGCCTGCAGCAGAACACGGGTCACAGCTCTGCATTCAGAGCTGCCCAAATCCCCCTCACTTCCACCGAGTTTCTCGCCTCGTTCAGGCAGGAAGGCTGAGCGATAAGATCAAGAACTTCTGTGAAAATCATCTATATTCACATCCTGCCCCGGAGCTGGACTCTTTGTACCCGTCCTCTGCAGAAGGGCACAGCCTGCCCTCCTCCATATGTAAGGGCTCAGCAGGCAGTGCTGCATCCTTACTTCATGGTGCGGCCGCTGTAACCCCAGCATCCGTAATTCAGGGCTGAGAGGCTGCAGCTCTCATTTTGCTCCTGCCTATTCAGGAACTGGGTGGGACTTCTCCATTCCCACCTATTTAAGCTGATCTCATCCCATCCACTGCTGTCCCAGCAGGATGGGATAAATGCAACACACGCAGATGCTGCTCCCCAAAATCTGGGAGCTGGGCAGCCTGCAGGATCCCATTGCTCCTTACCCAAATGCACACTTGCTGCTGTCCCAGGAGACTCAGCCCTGCATCTCCAGCACTGACACGGGAGCAGAGGTGGGAGCACTGCAGCCTCCAATCCCTGTATTCTCTTGTAAAACTGGAAGGGCTTTGCAAAAATAAAAGATTTGCAAGGACCCTACAAACCCAGCTTTAGCTGAGCTGCATCTCCTGCAGTTCCCAGTGCAGGAATTGCTGCTGGGCAGGGTTTTTCACCACCATCCTTCCATGGATGTCAGCAGCCAAAATGTTGGCTTTGCTGAAAAGACCATAACTTCTGATGAGCAAAACATGATTTAGGATCCCTTCCCACGGCAGTGATGTTGACCTGGGCTTTCAGCCCCACACTGCCAATAAATGCAGCTGTGCCAAGACATTTTGGGCACTCCAAAATGAGGTGGATGCAGGGGAGATGAGCTCTTACAGCTGGTTTCAGGCAGGGCTGTTGTCACCCAGCTGTGAAGGGAGCTGCTGGAGGGTGGGAATATCACTGTGCTTCTCACTGCTGGGAGCCCAGTGCCTGCTGTCCAGGTCTGTCAGACAAAGCCTGGGATAGATCTGCAAGTCTATTTGCTTGGGGATGTTTTTCACCCTAAGTAGCCTCTCTCACTTATCTGCTGAGTGATCAAACAGGCGGTTGATTTATTACCCCTTCTGCTTGATACATGGGCTGCTGCTCGGCCCGGCGCTGCGCTCTGCTCTCCCAGCTCCCTTAATGCCAGCACAGGCAGGAGCTGCCGTGCAAAGTAATTACTGGGAGCATGACATTCCTGGGTGCTTCCCTTCCCCGGAGGCAGAGCTCCACATCCCTGGGGTTCCTTGGTGTAAGATGCACTGTGTCTTCCTCCCCAGCTGTCCCCCATCCTCCTTAGCTCAGAATTGCTCCTTAGAAGTCCCATCCTTTCTTCTGGAGACATGAGATGCAACCCAAGCCTTTTCTTCCTCTCATTAATAATATATATACATATATGTAGACCTTTTTCAGCTTTAGATATTTGAGGCAGGGCGGGGGTTTGGATGAAGCTGGGACACAGAGGAGCCTCCTGTGCATGATATGAGCACAGCTCTGCTGCCATGGCTCAGCCTGCCCAGGAGAGCTCTGCAATCACAGCACCTGTTCCTGTGCTCCTACGCCCCAAAGTGTCCCCAGGATGCACCCAAAGTGTCCCCAAATTGTCCCCAAGCTGCCCTGCATAGCTTGCCTGCTGCTGAGCACAGTTCATTTGGGATCTTTGAGCATCACAAGTCCCTGCTGCAATGATCTGGCACAGGAATCACAGCTGCTCCTTTGGGCTGCGTGTGATGGGAACAATGTGAAGCAGCAGCTCTCCACAAAGTATTATGGAAAAGAAATGCTTAAGGACAATGTGCCAGGTGCTGCGATGTGAGGATGTGAGAATTTGGCTAGAGGGATGTGAGAGCAACTTCAGTGTCAAGCACTGCCAAAAAGCAGCCCCTGCAAAGAGCAGTAGAGCTCTAAAAATGAAAATAAACAACCAAAAAGGGAGATGCTGGCTGATGGAGGAGCAGTGTGAGACTAGAGAGATCCTTCTGGTTCTAAAATGATGATAATGGGGCAAAGCCATAGGAAGCTCTCGTGGCTGCAGGGGGATCCCATGTGGGCAGATGTGACCAAACTGCTCTTTCTCTCTTTGGACTTTGGGAACAAGCAAGCAGGTGCACGCTGCAAGGTCGGGTTGTCCCTGCACTGAGACTGCATCACTTCCCCATCCATCTCCTCCTTGGCTGCAGAAATCTCCCTCCCTGCTGCACAAACCAAGGCACTCCCAGGGCACAGTTTGCACTGGCTTCTTTTCAGGAGCTACTTTTCCAGCAAAATCTCCAGCTTTTGTAGTGGTGAAGGAGAAAAAGCCCATAGGTGTGAGCTGGGCTGTGCGATGGGGAGCTGTGGCCATGGAGGTGGGCATACAAGCTGTGGTATGGGCACAGCTTTGCAGCTGTGGTTTGCTCCTTGGTGCACCCTGGTTTGCTCCAAAGCTGCACCCACTCCAGTAGCATAATTGTGCTGCCTGGTATTCATGTTTGAGAATGAAGGGAAGAGCTGAGGTGAGCAGCACATTTATCACCAATTTGGTTATAAATGTGCTTTGGATCTCACATCTCGAGTGCTTGGAGCTGGAAAGTGGAGCACTGCTTCTCCAAACCGCAGAGCAGCCTGATGAAACCAGGACAATCCCCTTAGAGCACAGAATCACAGGATCACAGAATGGCCAGGGTTGGAAGGGACCTCAAGGATCATGAATCTCCAACCCCCTGCCACATGCAGGGCCACCAACCTCCACATTTCACACCAGCTCAGGCTGCCCAGGGCCCCATCCAGCCTGGCCTTGAACACCTCCAGGGATGGACGGGGCATCCACAGCCTCTCTGGGCAGCTGTTCCAGCACCTCACCACTTTCCCTGTAAAGAACTTCCCCCTGGCATCCAACCTAAATCTCCCCTCCCTCAGCTTAAAACCATTTCCCCTTGTTCTGCTGTTATCTTCCCTTTCAAAGAGTTGATTCCCCTCCTGTTTGTAGGCTCCCTTTAGGTATTGAAATGCTGCAATGAGGTCACCCCGCAGCCTTCTTTTCTCCAGGCTGAACAAGCCCAGCTCCTTCAGCCTGTCCTCATAGGGGAGGTGCTCCAGTCCCCTGATCATCTTCGTGGCCCTCCTCTGGACCCTCTCCAACAGCTCCCTGTCTTTCTTGTGCTGGGATCTCCACACCTAGATACAGTGCTGCAGATGGGGCCTCACAAGAGCAGAATAGAGAGGGACAATCAGCTCCCTGTCCCTGCTGGCCACCCCTCTGCTGATGGAGCCTGGGACACCATTTGTTTTCCGAGCTGTAAGAGCACACTGCTGCCTCACGTTAAGCTTTCAGGACACCCAGGTCCTTCCCTTCGCTTTCCGCCTAAGTTTGGCCCCTCCGCCGCACCGTAGCGCGTTGCCATAGCGACGCACGGCGCGGCCTGGCGCGATGTCGTACCGCGATGTGCGGAGTGAGTTCCGCGGGCACGGCGGGCACGGCGGGGCCGGGGGGGCGGCGGCGGCGGCTGCGATTTACAGAGAAGCTCTTTCAAAGTCCCTGTGTCGCTCCGCAGGGCGTTTTGTAGCGACGTGACGGCGTCGGTTGCCGAGGTCCGTCCGATGTCGGTAGGCCTCAGCCACCGCTGCGCCTCTCTTTCAGACCTGACCGAGATGCTGCGGGCGCTGGGCTATCCCCGCCTCGTCTCCATGGAGAACTTCCACGGGCCGAACTTCGCGCTGGTGGCCGAGCTGCTGCTGTGGCTGGTGAGGAGGTGGGTACGGGCTGTGCGTTGTGCCGAGGCTGCCTTCCGTGCACAGCGAACCGACTCACAAACACCAGCCGGTCCCACCTCCTGCGCTGAGCGGCTCAGAGCCGCCCGGCCTCACCGCGGGGGTCTGCGGGGACGGGGTGCCATCAGCTCTGTATGCAGCCCGTGCTGCCGCCTCGCTGCCTTGCCGTTATCCTTATATATCCAATCTAAATCCCCCCTCTTTTCCTTTTACACCATTTCCCCTCGCCCTGCCGCAGCAGCCCCTGCTATAGGCTGTCCCCTTCCTCCTTGCTGCCCCTTTAGGTACTGGAAGGACCCTGCACATGCACAGTGGCAGCTCCTCAGAGCGCAGTTAGTTAGTTTCTATCTTATTACAGTTGCCATTGCTTCACCTTGGCCGTGTTTGGCATCTGTGCTGTTTCAAAAAGAGGTGCTCACCCGCTGCTGTCCTGCTGTACTTTTACAGCCACCAAACCCACAGACAGACTTTGTTTGAATATTTATGGGACTTCCTAATCAGATTATCTTCTTTCCTCCACATGAGTGGAAAAAATAACCAAAGCTGCTCCTAACGTGGAGTATTACAGTGGGAACCATGACAATGAACTGCCTGCCTAATTGCTGTTTCTTTGGCCTGAATCTGTGATTAATGTAACAGCTGGGAATCTAAGCGTAATGGATGCGTTTCCTGAATGTTGGCACAATGGTAATAAAATAAAATAGGGGAATACTTATTAATGATTCAAAAGTGCTGAAACTGCGTTACCTACACGTTCTTAACACTGTTACACACAGGGTCTGTGTTACTTGTTGCCTTCACCTGGTGTTTCAAAACATAAATCAGAGTTCCCTCATGGTGTGTAGTCGCACCACCACACAAAAATTGAAAGAAATTAAAGCTACTTCTCTTTAAAATAGCATTTTTCTAACGTACCCACATGCTTAAGAAGCTCAAACTTGTGTGTTGTAACATTGCTGGCAGCCCTGAGCCCAGGAAGGAGGTGATTTTATTTCAGACCAAACCACAACTGAATGCCAGCATCCTCTCTGTTCAGAGTTAGGCTCATGCAGTGACAGGCAGCTTTTCTGCTGGAGAAGCCCTTTCATTCCACTCTAGAGCACAGAGGATGCTTTGCACGTACCTTGCTCTTAATTGCAAACATGATTTGAAAGAGAAGATTGGGTTTTTTTTTTGTCTGAATGTTTTAAATCTCAAAGCCTTTTATAAGATCACAGGAATTTCCCTTTTTTCTTCCCTGGATCCCATAGTGGTGGTGACTTCTAGAAGTTTCTGCATTTCACTGATGTTTTTTTAAAAGCAGTTCACAAACTTTCAATCTGTTTTCTTTTCTTTGTGTTTCATTTGGGTTTGAAAGTAATATTTTTGGAAGGATGTCTGAAGGCAGGGATTTCATTCTTGAGTACTTTGGGAGGCTGGAAACACGTCTGATAACACAGCTGGTTTTGTTACTGCTAGCAATAGCAAGCTGGCACATGGCATTTCCATTCAGCACCTGAAAGCTGGAAATATTAACCTGGTGTTTTTGAATTGTGAAGCCACATGTGATCGAGTTTAGTTTGGTTGCTGTAAGCTCTTTGTGATTTAAGTAGGAGGTTATTTTCTAGTTGTTCCATGGACTTGATATTGCCAACTCCATTTTGCTCCTTTGCAAAACCCTGATTGAAAATACGTATTTAGTGTCCCAAAGGATCAATTCCTGATGGAGAAACATCTCAGGCTTTGCAACTTTTGCATTTTGGGCACAGCCCCAATGTGGCACTGTGAGCCTTGCCAACCCTAGCTGCAGTAGGAGCTGAAGAGCTGTTTGTCAGTCTCATACATGTTGTTTTTTTTCATTTCTTTCTGACTTTGCCTCTCAGGTGAAACAGTTTCCTTAACCCTGCACGTGTATTTCTCATCCAAATCCATGCATGTTTCCCACAGGTATGAACCTCAGTCTGACATTCCCCCTGATGTTGAGACAGAACAGGACCGGGTTTTCTTCATTAAGGCTGTAGCTCAGTTCATGGTATGTCTGCTTATTTCACACTGAAATGCTTGTTCCATGCTAGCTTGAATGATTTCGCTCTTCATCCCTTACAGTTTCCTTGCGAGGGGTGGCTGAGCTGTACTGTATTCTTGTGATGTATGTCAAATAGCAAGCAGCATTGTTTTCTGTCCAAAGTAATCACATCCAGGTTGTAAAATTGACCAGAGTATTCTGCTCGGGATTGAAAATTAAAAAAAAATAAGTAAGAAGTTGAAAAGGAAGGGAGAGGGAACTTTATTTTAGAACTTACTAATAATAAAGCTTCAGCTATTGCAGTGATGGAAGTGATATATCTCCATCCCTAATCCTGTGTGTAGTTTCATTTAAGTCATAGGAGTAGGTTGGGTAGGAATGTTCCTACTTGATTCAGAGGCTGTTTGGGGCTTGGTGCTCTCTTAGGTTTGTATTTGCATGGCTCCAAAATGAGACCCTGTGGGATCCCACTGTAGCAGTGACCCTAAACTTGCACAGAGCAGGGTGTGTTCTTACTGAGATCTTGTGCTGTTGCATCTGGCTTTACAAAATTGGGAACTACTCATCTAATGCCAAAGCAATATTAATCCTTATCACTTCATACTTGGAGTGGAAGAAAAAAGGTAAAAGTGAAAGATACAGTGAATCTATTTAAAACAGATTCAGAAGAGATTCTTGGTTATTTACAGACAACTTTGGATGCCACATTTTCGTTATGATATTGAATCATACTTTAGCATTCTGTTGTGCATGCCTTCTCACTTATTAGATTGAGGCATATTTTTCTCAGAACAAATCTTTTACCACCACTTAGAGTTGCTGTAAAATAGGTGGCTACACCTCAGACATGAGGCTGCCTACTTGAACAAGCAGTGCCATTATGGCAATCTGGGAAATACATGTAGTTGTATGTGGTTTTTGCCTCTTTTTTCCTAAATTGTCTTTGAGTGAAATACATTTTTTTTTCTTTTTGCTTGACATTGATTTTTCTCTCTTGAGGCTGAATGGAGCTGAAATTGGAATTCCTGTCTTTAACCACATCCGTCACGGTGTGGTGTGTAGGTTTTCTTTGTGTAGTGGATGTTTAACAGGTTCTGTCCTTTTAATGACAAACTTCTCTTAAAATTGAATCCCCACTGTTTGCATGATTCAGTTTTTTCAGATCCCTTCTACTGAAAGAGAGGGAAAGAGAACATGTTTGACTTTCCACATTGTGTTGGTTCAGCTGAGGTCATGGCAGCCAATATTTTCAAAAACAATGAAGGGTTTTTGTACTGCAAGTCTTACAGTGACCCTGTTCAGAGTGCACAACATCAATAACCTCTTCTTTAAGCTGTGCTGCATGCATGAGGTAGGTGCAGCCACTTGGCAGAGGATGCAAGAACTACACTTGTGTGCATTCTGTGACAGATATGTGGTTTCTATGATGCTCGCTTTTCTCCTTTGCTATTTTGAAGTATAAAAAGAGGATATTGTAATTTTTAATGGTTTTTTTTTTTTTTTTCAGAGATGGAAGGCAAGAGAATGAAGTCAGTAATATTGTAACAGGGAATAATTTGAGAAACAATAAAATACTCTGAAGCTACTGCTGGAAGAGAAGGCAGTTAAATTAGGATAATTGATCTTATTCTTGTAACTCATTAAGGGTGAAATTTACCTCTCTGCAGCATCATCACAAGACCTGGGCAGCACTTACATTCCACTTAAACTTAATTTGAGTTTAAGTGGTGCACAGGGTTTTTGCTGATCTTCACATGGGGAAGAATTAATGAATAGTTTTTTTCATTCTGCCAATTATCTGCAAATGTTCTGACATACAGAAAGTACACACATTTCAGAAAGATTTCTTCAGAAATGACAGTGATATGGTTAAGCAAATCTCTTTCCAAACAGGAAGATTTATCTGTTTGAAGCAGACAGGTGCCTCCAGTGAGAACTTCTGAGTGAAGTAAGAAGAAGTAAATGAAGATTTTGTTGTTCTTTGTGACATGATGGTTTCTTTCTTTCCAAAGGCTACCAAGGCCCACATAAAGCTCAACACCAAGAAGCTTTACCAGGCAGATGGCTATGCAGTGAGAGAGCTGCTGAAGGTCACCTCTGTGCTTTACAGTGCAATGAATACGGAGGGAATGGAGCGCACAGACATCACTGAAGAAGACAGCAGCAAATTCAAATTTGATCTTGGCTCAAAAGTAAGGAAAACTTATACTCTTGGTGTAGGCAAGTGTGTTGTGTGAACCTGTGAAAAACAAATGCATTTTCTATCTGAAACTTAAGCAGAGAACGTTCTCACAAGGAAGTTGGTACGGCTTTATCTTGGTTGAGGTTGCACTCTGACTTGTTTTAGTCTCTGTGTCCTCATATCCAGAAGCATATTACAAGGCAATAGTGGCACCAAATTGGTTATAATTGTTTTGAAATGCTGTTAAAATTGTAGAGATGTTGGAGTACACGAGGATAAAGGTGATTTTCTATCTACTAACATCATTGCAACATGCGAGCTTCCAGAAGACTGACTGAACATTGGATTTTGGGCCAGTTGGCATTGAACAAAAAGGGAATCTTCGTATTATCCTAACAGACATCAAAGCCATCCAAGCCCTTCAATGCCTTCCTGAGATACTGAAGAAAGCCACACTGTGTTAAATAAGAGTTCTTGTTGCTGCTTTTTGTTACTTTTAGCTCCTCTCCTATATCCTGATATAAAATTTGATTATTTTATAGCAATGCTCTCTGGTATTTGCCTCTTAGACAATAATACTGCTGTTCTTGAAAAGATGGCAGAACCACAATTATTCCTCTTTATGAGGAAAGCACCTCAGAGAAATCACGTGAAAAGCCACTTTTAGATCATCCATGCTCAGTACTTGTACAGTGTCCTGGTCACATAGCTTTTGTTGTATGCACTTTTGCATATGAAAGAGAAGATGTTTCTGTTTGCCATGAGTAGCACATGAACTAACACGTGGCTGAGTCAACTTTGAGGAGATTTTATCATTGGCCTGAAGTGTCTGGGGTCTCACCAGGCAGCCTGTGTCTAAATGGTGCCTAACCAAGGCCATGTTTAAGCCCAGAGGTGGACTTGCTCTGATTCCAGTGGACAACTTCAATCTGTGGCAGAGTTTCAGTCTCTGTGCTGGCCTCCTTTTTTAACACAAAAATAAGAAAAATCTGTTGTTGATTTTCTTTGTGATATTGTGAATTCTCTTTTACTATTCTGTGCTGTTGTTGTGTTTCCAGATTGCTGACTTGAAGGCGGCTAGACAGCTTGCTTCTGAAATCACCTCCAAAGGAGCAAGTCTGTATGACTTACTTGGCAAAGAGGTAGAGCTAAGGGTAAGTACATCATGGAGAGTGGGTAAGAACATTTGTTCACTGGATGCTGCAAAGGAGAAAGGTGCAGAAAGTGTGAGCAGCTGCTTGTAACAGCTGCATCTAAAATGAATATTCTGTTGGTTGAAGGAATGGGTCAAAGTTTGTGTTTTCTTCCCACTCATATTAATACTTGGATTGCAGTAAAACTGAGAGAACAGATTGGCTTTTCTCCTTTAGAAGAAAACTGAAGTAATCTCTGTAGAACCGTTTGGAAATATTGACTCTGCGTTTATGTTTTAGCAGTGCTGATAGATATATTCTGAAAGATAAATTATTAATGCTCTGAGTTATCCAAGTGCAAGGCTCATTATTTCTGTTACAGTAATTGAAAGGCATGGAAGCCTTCAGGGTACAAATTTTTCAGTTTAATTCTAAAGTTGCCAGCTACTGCATGAAGTCACAGATGTGTCATCAAACTTTGCCAATAAGTCTCTCAATTTGTTTCTCTAATGTCCTTATCTGTAATGCTGGAGGTTATTTGTTTACTGATAATAGACACTTAAACAAGGGAAGCCTTGGAAGTTCTGGTATCGTTTTTTGGTAATCTTCAGGTTTGTAACATCTGAGCTGTGGGAAGCACATCCTGTAAGGGCAGCAGGCTGTGTGCCTTGACAGCTAATGCTCTTAGATCCTTGCTTGGTGGAGTGCAGGTGTTTCAAGGAATAGATGGTGTGCAGAGATTGTGTGAAGCATTGCCTTTCCTGCAAAATATGACAGCGTGGTGTACAGCCACATGAAAGACATGAATATTTTTAGGAGGGAGAGAGGAGTGATAATCCACCTGAATTCAACATACACAAGTCTTACAGAACGGTTAATCTGTTACTTCTCATCTGATATTCTTTGCTTAATTTCCTGGCTTTGAAATAATTTTTGCATGAAGATCACCTAATGTATTAATGTTTGCTTTAGAACATTAAGCTGTGCTGTTATTGTAGGCAGCACCTCTTAGAACTCAGCTAAAAAGTCAGGTATAGACCAGGTCAACATGTTTAAGAAGTAATTAAGCATTGCTTTGAAATTGGGCATAGTTTAATCACTTGAAATTGAGGCTTTTAGGAGCCCAAGTGACTGCAGTAGTGGACCTTCTAAAAGGGACTTGCATGAGTGCAGAGCACTGAGGACATGGAATGAAAAATCAAGAGCTGGATGAGTGCTTCGTTGCAGCCACTTCTCCTTGCACCCATTAAGAGATCTTCAGCATTATTCTATTTAAGGTGCAGTTTGTAAAAGGACAATTGATTATTTACTCAGCAGAGTGTCTTTCTCATGATGTAATGACTGAGGGCATGAGCTACAGCTGATGGATTTTACAAAGGTGCTCAGTTTACGTCTTGCAAAAAGATTTGACAGATTGGATTTGTTATCTTCAGGAAATCCTGTCTTAGGAAAGACGACCTCTGCTTCTGTCTCGTTAGCTCTGGGTTTGTATCTTAAAAGCACAACATGGCACTGTGACAGGAGAGCCTGCGAAGTGCAGCACACAAGCTGTGATGCTGTGTTCCTATGATTTGTTCCTGGCTTCAGTCTTCTGAGCAATTTGTTAGAGCTGAAAATCCCATTTGTTTTGGGGTTACAAAGCCATAAGGTTGCACTAAGCAGCCTTCCCTTTAACTGCCTGGCTTTATGCTTTCTTCTAAAGATTACTGGTGATGGTGATTACTTATCTTTTGGTTCTTGTTGCTGTCAATTTCTTTATTGTAAATGAGGACTCTGCACTTGCAGTGTGTTTGAAAGAGAAAGGGACAAAAGTCAGTAGTAGCCATGGCCTCTTTAGAATGGAATCAGTCCTGGGATATGTCTGGGACTGCCTGGGAGTGCAGTGGGTATGGTCTTCCCTGGGACTGTGTCTGTGCCCCATTCTGTTGAGAGAATGTTATAAAATGGGAGCAATACAGCCACTTTCACACTGAGTGATTTTAACTGGGATCTCTTCATTATTTATTTATTTAATTTTTTTATGGCAAATGTATTGAATCTTATAACGAACATGTGAATTGATAGGAAGGGATGAAGAATTTGTGTTCTGCTAGGAATTGGAAGGCTCTTCACAAAAATATACCTGTTGCTATTATTTTTTACAAAATGGCAGTTTAGATGCTATAAAAATTATTTGCAGCCCATGTGCTGGAGAAAGCAATCTCCCGAAAATGAGCTGAACTTAAAGCTGTTATTCTGAGTTGTTTACAGACTGCTTGTGCCAGGGAATTGCCACGACACAAGTGCTGGGCAGATTGACTGCTTTTGGCAGCTGTGCCCCTCGTTGCATGGGGAGGTGTTGGAGGCAGGCACACCAGTCAGTGCCTTTGGGAGAAGTTGGAAAATAGAAGTGAGACTTAATAGATTTCCCCCAGCTTTTGTTTCCATCTTTTCAGAAGCCACAAAGCAAAAACCTCACCCTCAAATGGATACTGTGGCCACTGTAGCTTCTGTGCTTGTAAAACAGATTTAATAGCTTTCTCTTCCTATCTAAAGCTTAAATAATAATGAGGGGAAATGTTGTTTTATGGTTTTCTGATAGCATCTACACTATGGTTGTGATTCATTATAGCTGTGATTCAGTTCAGGAGCACTAACCTTCCAGAGCTACGGTGCCTCAGACTTGGCTTGGAACGTGGCTCTATGCTCCTAGAAGCAGATAGGAGAGGGAAACACAGAACAAACTTACAGGTGGGAGGTGAACTCAGCTCTGTGGAGCAGTAGGGCTGAGCTGGTTGTGCAGTGGGGTCACTGGCTCAGCACTCCACCATGCAGCTTGCTGCTTGGCCTCACTGCCTGGGGGGCAGCTGTGCTGTGGAAGCCTTTGAAAACTGTTGAAGCTCCATAGGCTTTGTGTTTTAATCTTGTACAACTTCTTTACCACATTCCTGTTTCCACAGTGAACTTCTGTAAAGAAACTTCTTTCCAGGTGAGCTGGGCATCTCATCAGTGGGGCTGGGAGCTGCCAGCCCTGCCGTTCCTGTGTGTGTGTGTGAGCAACAGAAGGGCAAAGGGAGCTCAGTGTGACAACCCAAAGCAGCCCCCTGGCAGCAGCAGCTCCGTTCTGGCTACAGTGCAGCATCCTCAGGGTTCTAAAGGGGATTTCCTACCCAAAGTTGGTGGCAGGAGGGGAGGGTGTCACTGGAAAAATAGGGGGCGTATGGTAACCTTGGGACAGGTGATTCATTACTTGTAACCTGATAGATTAGATTTCATCATCTTCATTTTGCCTTCCAAATATTTTAAAGTAATTGAGCTATATAGAGCTCGCTTGAGTATGAAATGATCTCATCAAGTGAGAGGCTGGGAGCCAAATGCAGTTGTTTTCTGCCATCACCATTAAGTCTGATAATGCCCATGGAAACCGGTGGAGTTGCAGTTATTTCTAAATAGCCAGTGCTGAGGGCAGAAAAGAATTGCCTGTAATTTCACACTATCCTCCCTAGATTCTTTTCTCTACTGCCTGCTGGGATGGGATCCTATGCCTGCCCTTCCCACTCTATTTCAGGTGGGCAGAAGTGCTGTGAGTTGTGACCTCACATGGGGAATTGGAGCCTTGTGTGTAGATACCAAATCAGTTGCCATTCACTGAAGGTTACTTTTACTATTTTTTAATGTGAAGATTATTGATTTCCATTGCTTATTTTCTTTTGATATTGCATGGCTAAGTAATGCATGCACTAAATTGCGTTGGTGGAGAGATTGTGCTATTAGAGAGCAATAGGAGAGCAGTTTGGTTTATTTCTTCATTACATTTTATGTGCTGAACCTGTTGCATATATTAAAATGTGTTGACGGATGTGATACAGTGGTAATGAATTTGAGAACATGGTAGTTTTTTGTTCCCTGAACATCTTTCTTTTTTTTCATTCCTCCCCTCCAATTCATCCATTTCCAAATGCTGAAATGGAGGATCTCAGGACTTAGGCTTAGTTAAGCTGAGGTCTTGTTTCTATCCTGGGTGAAGACCGCTTCATTTTCCTGTAGCTGTAAAGGAAATGCTGGCATTTGGCACTAATGGGTTTGAATACATCTCTTTTCCTTGTCTCTGCACCTCCTGGGGGAAGATCACTGGGAAAAGTGAAGTAAAACTCATTTTTATTTCCTGTAGACACATTGACTCTAATTTGTGTCACAACCTTTTCTTTCTTTAGAGGAGCTCTTTTTGCACGTAGTTGCTATAGGAGCTGTGTGGAAAATTGTTATGCATGAGGTAAATGATTGTTCCAAGCCATAGGTCACTTTAATAAATTACTTTCTGAATGAAAACAAATTTCAGCTGAAGGAGAGAAGAGTTATTAAGGGAAAGTCTCTATTAGATGTATTGCAGATACATATTGATGTAAACGTGCCTGTATTTATTGGGAAGTGTGTTTGTTTTCTTGGAAATGTGGCAGTGTGCCTTTCTGAGGCCTTTATAAATCCATCATTTCCTGACTGCACTTCTGGTATATATGTAAATTGCTTTCAGAATTGATCTATAACGTTAAAAACAACCAACAAAGGTCACCAAATGTTTCATTTAGGAACACTGGAGGGATCAAAACCTCCAGGTGCTCCTTTGCTTCGTTCAAACTATGATGCAGTTGGTTAAGATTCTGCAGGAAAACAAGAAGTATGTAAAGCTGTGCTTATCTCATCAGATGAAAGTCACAGATGTCCCTTTTGGCTTCACTAAGAATCCAGGTTTTACGTTTGAGAAGAAGGAACAGTGAACAACCCTACAGAAAGCCTTTTGGTTTTAAAATGCATTTGGCCCAAACGTTGGCAAGACAGTTCGCTGCTTCCACTCTTAGCAGTCCAAGCATAGAAATTGGAAAGCTGGAATTCAAAGAGTCTGTTTTTGAATATGCACAGTACAAATTCTGTGCACAGAGATGTATTTATCTCTGTTTTGCTCTCTTACTGGGACAACTTCTGCATTGCATGACTGTGTGGCGTTGATTTTTCTCAGTGTTTTATACTCAGCTTTGGAAGAAGAA